TTTCACTCTCATTCCCAGTCACCACCCACAATTAGAGAAAAAAATAACTCTCTCAATTATCACTGTAATATGATTTTCCTCCATAAATTTTGAAGTCAAACATCTTACCTAAACTCTAAAACGGATTACCTCTATGTCCTGCTTTGAAGTGATTTTGAAAGCAGTTTTTTTTGCTAACAAAATATAGTAAATACTTGATAAGCTTTTTACAATAAATGACTCTAAGTTTCTAAAAATTCCTAGAAAATTTCTAGATATTGATTGTGGTATGACGAATCCAAATTAAATATTTAGTGCTCATGAAACTATCTTTAGAAACTTCCATGAAATAGATTTAGCTCAAAAAATGGGCCGGGGAAAATATCCAGAACAATATAGAAAAAATCAAAATATCCTAATTGATGTCTAAAAGTATTTCAAAAAATTTTCACAGCAAAAAACATAAGATGCAATGAGCATGATTGTGGTGGTGAGTCGGTGAAAAGCGCGTCGCAATGTGGCGAAATGGCTGCTGGTCGGCAGCAGTCCAGTGAGCTACGCACCTATGCAGGTGAGTAGCCTAAAAGACACATGACGTGACAGGAGCTGGTTGCCTACAGCCTTCAAGGGAGAGCCGCGAGCACCACCTGAGTTATGCATCGAAGTTATCTTCAGTGGTAAATGACACACATAGTACAAAGAGTCGTTGATAACTCTTACGAGTTCTCTAGTGGAGCACAAGAGAGCTCTACTGCTCTAGTGCCCTCTGTTGTCTTGGCTCTTAGACTAGAACATTCTACATAAACTCTGGTGCATTTCTCCGATGGGGCATTGGAGAAATCCAGTCAAATCTATAGGTTTTGACTAAAAAACACCCTCTCTAGACTCTAATTCTGGTGTGTTTCTCCATGAAGCAATGGAGAATTCCAGTGAGTCGATCAAATAGCAAAAGTTATACAACAAGATAATTGGGATAATTGAAGAAATGCATGATATTTGGGTTGATGAAATCAATTGTTCACAAGTAGATGAAAGAATATCTAAATAATGTAAAAGGCACCAGCTTGGACAATGATGGGAATATGTCAACCGGCGATATTAGGATATTAGGCCAAGAGAGGTGGTAGATGAAGAAGATATTGATTCATTGAGAGTGACACCTCTAGTTCAACCAATGATCGAGACATACCAAGCACTAATGGTGCTCATGCTCAATTTGATGACAAAGATCAAGTCTAAGTGTCAATACCAATGGCTTAATCATCAAGTTTTTAGCACAAGAGAAAGTTGTTCATCCATTGCTAAATCAAGCAATTGCTAGAAGTCATTCCATAGATCAAGCATTGGTAATATAAGGAAGAGTATTCAAACTAGATCAAGATATGACAAATCCTAGCAACACTCGAGCAGTAAGTGGAATGCAACAAGCGCAAGGTGAACTCTCCAACTCCTCCAATACCAAGTGCAATGCAAATGGCAAGATCAAGATCAAGCTTCAACTCCCATTGTTATACCATCGAATTCAAGCTATACAAATCCACAAGTTCATGATCAAGTACAAAGTCAAGTGCATGATCGAGTTGCTCATACAAAGATCAAATCAAGTTATGTTATTGCCAAGGACAATCAAAATTGATCATATTGTTGGTATTATCTCAAAGGGTGTTCAAAAATCAAGGGAGTGTGTCATTTTGTGAACATTTCTCAAGTGTGTCTTCAAGACAACCAATAAAGATGGATGAAGCGTATTGAAATACCTAGGTTGGGTGAATACTATGTATGAGAAGTTGATCAACTACACTTACGATCAAGTTTGGAAGTATGATATCAACAAAGGGTGAAATGCCTATGATTGGAGAGTCGAATTAGAGCAAAGGAAACATTTGCATGCCAAGGTCAAGTCCTCTCAAGAGCATGTTAAAGATGTTTGGTATTTGCAAAGCAAATCAAAACCCCATGACAACAAATGAACGCTTAGACTTGGATGAAGATGGTAACCCCGTCGGTTGATCAAGAGCAATATTGCTATTCTATATCCAAAAGATGTACAATTTGAGTTAGTTGGATATTCAAATTTGAATTATGTTGGGTACAAGGTTGATAGGAAGAGCAAGCTTGTTGGGAGGAAGTATCAGCACCTATTCGAGCACTAAATGTCACATTTACTAGGGAGGTTTTCTCTCACTAAATAATCCACGATATCAGGTGATGGTCAACAAAGAAGCAAAACTCTGTAGCACTTTTAATCACCGAAGTAGAGTATATCTCGACGTGAAGAAGTTGTGCACAATTGCTATGGATGAGGACAATACTATTGAACTTTTGGTGTCAAGTTTGATGAAGTGCCTATCCTATGTGATAATGAGAGTGTGGTGAAGATTGCAACTAATCCGGTTTAACACTCAAAAACAAAGTATATTGATATAAGGCACCATTTCATAAGCGATCACATCAACAAGGGTGACATAAAGATAGATGACATTGGCACCAATAATCCACTAGCCGATATTTTCATCAAACCATTGGATGAAGCAAGGTTTTGCAAGCTAAAAAATGAGTTAAACGCCATTAACCACTCTAACATGTCATGACTAGCCTCTCCCCTAACATAGCAAATGTATCATTGTAATATGCATGTTCGTACATCCCTAACTATAGTATGTGGTTGTGCATATAGATCACAGTTTGTGTTTCTAGGACATGCATTGAAAATCAAGTGTTATTCCATGTGAGACTAACTCATATGCAACAATTGATGTCTCTTTCTTCCTTCTTGAATTATCCTTGCTAGTTTGATCAATCATGAAATCCAAATTTTTATATTCCATAATAATATGAACAAATTTTGAGTGCAAGACCAATTAATATGCATTAATCCATGCCTCTTTTGTCATTTCCAACATATTGTTGCCATTTTTTCATTTTCATAACTCAATCTTAGCTTAAATTCTCATTTGCATGTAATTTTGCTTCATATGAGCCCACATACATTAATAATCTTGGGACCAAACACCTGCACATAATCTTATCAAAACATGTTAATTCATTAATAGTGATGTCATTCAATCTACAAAAACCACTTAGAGCCTAGATGCACTTTTAGTCCAATACTGGAAAAAAGAGAACATCTCATGAATATTATAGAAACAATCGAAATATACTGTAAATATTCCATGGATACTATACAAACAACCTAAATACATCATAAAATAAACCATAGGTAATGTGAACAATAGAAGCGGAATATCACATGGATACAATATGAACAACCTAAAATACACCATGGAACATCTCATTGGTACAATTTGAACAATCGAAAATACATCATTGAACATCCGACCAAAAGAGTACTACGTAAACAACTCAAAATATACCATATAACATTTTATGTGTAATTTATGAATAATCAAAAATACATCGTAAAACATCATATGGATACTTCGTGAATAACCCAAAATATACTATGAAACATTCGTGAGTACTATAAGAACATTACACCATAGGTCATGTATAGGAAAATAAAAAATAAAGAAGAAAATTAATTAGAATAACCTTAATAATGATAAACTTTTTTTCTTTGACTCTACGCCGTAAATTATGTTTGGTAGGTTGTGACTTTGAGTTAGGGCATTGGGAATGGCGATTGTAGTCACCCTCACCGCCGCGCGCCTGGGAGGTTTGATAGAATTGAATATCCGACTCTATCTTCGTATTTGAAAATACTGGGAGGTTCGCTTTAGAGGTCATAGGTGTAAGTTAGGTGCTAGAATGATAATGATGTAGGTGCTAAGATAACGTGTTTGGTGGGGGCTATAGAGGCAGCAGTGTAGCACTGATGACTAAAATCTTAGTAGACCTGCTTTTGATTTTCTTTTAGAGCAAACTATTAGAAAATGTCGGTGATGGAATTATTTTTCCTTCTGCGGTACTCCATCTATCCCACAAAGAAAGTCGTTATAGGATACATGCAGATCAAACTTTCTTAACTTTGACCATGTTTATAGAAAATACGTGCAACATTTATATCTTCAAATAATTTTATTATGAAAGTATATTTTTTTTTTTGCGAATTGCACAAGTACAGACGTAGACGCTCAACACGCACGCACACTCACCCCTATGAACACACGTACGTAAACCCTACCCCTATGAGCACCTTCGAAAGCATGTGCTGGCACATCTCGAGATTGATGAAGTCACCACATGCTCCTCGCTGTCGAACGGAAACGTTGCCTACCACTGAAAGCACAATGCCGTTAAATCATAGAATAAATCCACCCGTGCCAAGTTGATGAACTTGAACTCGGATGGACAGGTTCCAACACAAGAAATCTAACCAATTGAGCGCTCAGTTCATTATAAAAGTATATTCAACGATCTATCTAATGATATTAATTATGTATTATAAATATTAATATTTTTTATATATAATTGGTTAAAGTTAAAAAAAATTGACTTCTCGACAAGCGAGAACAACTTTATCCGGAGACAGAGAGAGTAATATTTATTAGACAGGCTACAAAAACTAATTTTGGATTATCTTTTTAGGTAGTGTTGTGTTAGAGATGCACCCTCACACTGTCGTCAGTCGTCACACATGTCCTTCGTGGCTTATCTTTTCCGATCGTGCCCTCCCCGCGCGCACGATTCCACGGATCCGCCCCCGTTTCTTTCTTGGCCAAAACCCCACACACCAACACACACTTCCTCCTCCGCTGCGCCGCGCCGCTCCGAGCCCTCCTCCTCCTCCTCTCCCCGCGCGGCCGAGAATGTTCTACTCGCATCAGCTCCTCGCGCGGAAGGAGCCGCTCGGCCAGATATGGTGCGTCTGCTCCCTTCATCGCGCCTCCTATTCCCCTCGTTGCGGCTCTAATCGCGCTCGTTTCCCTTCCTGTTCCTCGCAATGCGTTTGGTTCTATACCTTCTTCTGACAAATCGCGCTCAGTTTTCTTTTGCTGGTCACGCTTGCGCCGATTCGGCGGCCACTAATTGCGTTCGCCCGTTCGTGTTGTGGTTGCAGGATGGCGGCAACGCTCCACTCGAAGATCAACCGCAAGCGGCTCGACAAGCTCGACATCATCAAAATCTGGTGAGGAAACTGGCCCGAGCGATTCGAGTTCCGCCCTGTCGTGAGGGGAATTTTTTGTGCTTTTTTGTTTTTACTGATTTTTGTTTGTGTGTTTCTCGTTTAGTGAGGAGATTTTGAACCCCTCGGTGCCCATGGCTCTGAGGCTCTCTGGAATCCTCATGGGTGAGTTCAATTTAGCTTGCACCCCCGAAAATTTTCCTCCCAGTTTTTTCGGATGGTTTTTATTCTCCGTGATCGAAATTCGTGAACAGGTGGCGTGGTGATCGTGTACGAGAGGAAGGTGAAGCTTCTCTACAGTAAGTTTCTTCTTCGCTACTTGTTGATTTTGTTTGAATTCCCTGTGTTTTGTCATCTTATTTCTCAAATCGATCGTGTGTTCTCTTTCTCGCAGCTGATGTGTCTCGGCTTCTGGTAAGAACTCGTTCAGGATTTGCCTGAGTGTTTTCTGTGTGTCCTGGTCGGTCTATTTGATTATCCTTGCGAATTCAGTTCGAGTTATACTTGTACTAATTTCTCGTGCAGACTGAGATCAACGAGGCATGGCGGATCAAACCGGCCACAGACACCACCGTCCTCCCCAAGGGTAAAGCCCAAGCCAAGTAAGTGTGCTACCGGTCTCCATCCCTGTCTTAGCGTTTATAGATGTTACATGCTGGGGTTGAGGGGGTTCGGTTTGAGTAAGGTTGCGCTGCGTAATGCTGGTGATGTTGTTACTGAGGAGTGGTGTTTGCTTCTCAGCTTTCCGAATACAGAGTTTGTTGTGTGTTTAGGCCGTGCTGTGTTCATCTGGTTGTTTGGATTGGCGAATGTTGTTATCTGGCTGGGATGTTCATGGAAGTTCTTAGGAGATAGATATGTTGTCAATTTGCTTGAGCTGAATTGGTATGTGGTGCAATGTGTGTAGCGTGGGAAATGAAAATGGGATTTACAGCTAGATGTTGGCGATTGCCATGGTATCTTGCTGTGCCTTACTCACTGGACGCTTGTGCTTGCTGAAGCACTCACATCCACTGTCTGATGTATGACTCCCAATGATCTTCTGTCAACTGGCCTAATCACTTGCTGTTTTGCTCAAATTTATTCAGTAGGGTTGAGACACTGCCCAACCTGGGTGGTTCTGGCTGTAGGTACATGGGTCTCATGCAGGCATTATCGGCCTATGGATTTATTCAAATTCACCGAAGATTCTCCATCTAAATCTGCTTGTAACCTTGTTTGGCTTTATTTTTTAATTTATTTTTTCCAATTTTGACTTTTGAGAAATCAGAATAGGATGTGCATGGATTTGCATTTAGCATATTTTGGTGCAACAGTTACTTTCTCCTTCCAATATGTGAGCATCTTCGTGTCATTGGAGTATCTTTTGGCATCTTCTTTAGCTTGTCCATTTCACCATTTGCTAGCTATACAATACTGTACTTAAGAAATAATGCTATCTTAAAAGGGCTTTCATCATGAGAACTGGAAATGACCATCTACGGTCATGATTAATTCTTTTGGCATTACCATTCCCTAACCAGTTACGGCTGTAGTATAACCCTTGGAAGTTTGTTTGAGAGTTAATGTAATCTTTTCTTGATATAACACCTTTTCTGGTTAAACTTCTATAGATAAATTTGACTTCATTACTACTAACTCTTTCATAGCCAAACACCTCAGTCTCTCCCCTTTTGTAAATAGCATGGAGTGGGTATGAACTGGTGATATTGGAAAGATTGTTCTTTGCTAAGAGTAAGAAAGTAATATGGCATGCTTATCTGACAGCAGAACTTCATGCAGGTATGAAGCAGTAACATTGCCAGAGAAAATTATCAATATGGTGGTGGAACAGCCCATGTTTTTCTCAGAGACTGACGGTGCCAGGTTCCGAGGAATGGTAATCTTTGTCACCTGTGTATTTCAGAAAAACTTTATATGCATACAGTATGGTTCTTATTTAGAATAGCCATCACATGAACACATCTCTTTTTTCCGACTTTGGCCTGATTGTATCCACTTTTCTGACTGAAATATATGATGCATGTTTAGCGATTGGAAGATCTGGATGAACAGTACTTTAATGTCAATCTTGATGATGATGACTTCTCTCATGCTGATCATCGTCATCAAGGTTTGTCTTTCTTCTCTTGCGGACTACTCTTTGTTTTTTTTTTAAAGGAATACGCTTTGTGTTTGTGTAAGGGAGAATATTCTCAAACTCTACGATACTTTCTCAGCTGAAGCAGTGAATATAACCCTGGTCGATAATTTTGAGTCTGGGCTTGCAGAAACTGATGTGTTCAATCGCTTTGAGAGGTAAAGCAAAGCTGCATACTTATTTAAATTTACCACTCTTTTATCATCGCTGCTGTATGTTTCTTTTTCTTATTTTGTGTATAGTACAAATATAATTTGCAATAGTGCCTTGTATACAGATTTGACATAGCAGATGATGAGACCACAGTCAATATCACTCCTGATGAGCACCCACAAGTTCCAAGTACGCTGGTTCCCTCACCACCTAGGCAGGAAGACCCTCCTCAGCAAGAAGAACAGTACTATGCTGCCCCCTCCCCTGTTCATGAAGAACCTCAACAAGGTGAAACCAAGCACATGATTTACTCTCTGCCATATGGAAACAAGGCTGTAGTTTTAAAAATTAGAATTTCCTTTTTTTCCCCAAAGGACAATGATTCTCATGTCAATTGTGCATTGACATGTTATTTCGGTCAAGTGGAAGAACTTGCATCCAAAAGTTTTCCAGTTGATGGTTCTTACTGACAGCTAATGGCCATCTGCAGACTCTGTTAGAATATTCTTGAAACTATTCATGCTTTATCTGTCATTGCCTTTGTACATAGTCAAGTAGCTACAGTAGGACTGTTTCAGGATAAGAGACTAGGGAGTGCATCCTTGGTTGCAACTACAATGTCTTCTAGCTGCTGTATGGCATATCTCGCTCTTCTCTTTCGGCAATGTGATCCATTGGCTTACCAATAATCACTAAGCACAACTATATTTCTGATTCTCAACTTATGTCCTATTTCAACCTTTTCTACTTGGAACTTGTAGTTCGTTTCCCCATTCGTTTTTTTTGTTGGTTGACTAGTTACCTGATATATTAGAAGTTGACTGCTGGACATAATTTAAGTACATGTGTTGTTGCATTTATACCATATTTGAAGCATCTTGCTGCAATTACTGAAAGTTCTCTTGCAGGGGGACCAGAGGAGCAAGAGGAGCAGAAGATGAAGGTAAACATGATTTATCAAGCCTTATTACATCTAGAAAATAGTATGAAAAGGGATTACTTGTTTAGTTTGTTCTTGTTTACTTGAGCTAGCACTTTACACAGCAGCAGCAACCACCTAAAGCATCAAAGCGGAAAGCACGTAGGGAACTCCCACAAGTAATTATGGACAATAACCAGATGATGATCCCGGGAAACATATATCAGACATGGCTGAAGGATGCATCAAGCCTTGTCTCAAAAAGGCGTAAAGTTAACAGTGTATGTTTGGTTCGACTAACCTATTTTCCTGGAGATTTCTTGTTAGAGTACGTCAGGGGCCTATTGGGCCTGGGTTGGCTGTATAGCCCATTAGTGTTATGGTTAATTAGAGATAAAGGTCGCTTACTTAAGGGTCAAGTAAGCCTTGCTTGGGAGTTAAGTAAACCTCTCTATATAAGGAGAGGAGATATATCGATCTAATCAAGCAAGAATTAAGAAGGAAATTCCTTCCCTCGTGCTCAGCCGTGGGCAAGGCCCCCGGCCGGCCTCCAGCCTCCCTCGCAGCCCCAGCCGCCACAATTATGGTCGTGAACAGTACCCGCTTCACTGTAGCACCGCGGGTAGTGTAGCCCGACCGTCGCCGCCTCTCCCTCAACTCTCTCCCTCTCAATCCTAGCAGCCACATAACAATCTGGTATCAGAGATCTCTGGTTCGATCATGTTCAGCCCTCTACCGAGTTCTTCCCACCCGCCGCCGCCGCACACCCACCCGCCGCCACCAGCGTCTTCGTCGGCGCTGCTGCCCAGTCCATTTCAGGTTGGGAATAATAAAATAAGCCAAGATGTAAAAGTCTTGTTTTTAGGTGTTAGGAGTCGAGTCAGCGTTATAAGTTCGCTAGGTTGCAGCTCGAGGACGAGCTGCATGTCCAGGTGGGGTGTAGTGTTAGAGTACGTCAGAGGCCTATTGGGCCTGGGTTGGCTGTATAGCCCATTAGTGTTAGGGTTAATTAGAGATAAGGGTCGCTTACTTAAGGGTCAAGTAAGCCTTGCTTGGGAGTTAAGTAAACCTCTCTATATAAGGAGAGGAGATGTATCGATCTAATCAAGCAAGAATTAAGAAGGAAATTCCTTCCCTCTTGCTCGGCCGTGGGCAAGGCCCCCGGCCGGCCTCCAGCCTCCCTCGCAGCCCCAGCCGCCACAATTATGGTCGTGAACAGTAACCGCTTCGCTGTAGCGCCGCGGGTACTGTAGCCCGACCGTCGCCGCCTCTCCCTCAACTCTCTCCCTCTCAATCCTAGCAGCCACATAACATTTCTGTACTGGTGCACTCTAATAAAGAACATTTATCTGATTTATGCTTGCAGAATTTTAATTTTATTCGATCAACCAAGATAAGTGATCTCATGGACATCCCCCCAGCTGCTCTAATATCTCATGACAACTCGCCCTCAGAATTATATTATCCTAAGCCACTTATGCAGCTCTGGAAGGACTGCACTGAAGTCAAGTCCACAAAAGCTTCTTCAGGTCACTTCATAATTTGTAATATTGTGTCACCTTTCTTGACTTGTAGAAGCCATATTATTTTAACATGCTAAAGGCCAATTCAAAAACCTAAACTGTTTCTTACTTTCTTAAAGGAGGGCAGCGATCATCATCACAAGAACAACAGCCGAAAAACTCACCACCTCATGAATTTCCACCTCAGGTTATTCTAGATTCTTTTATTTTCTGAAAAGAATAACACCCTTCCCTAGTGAGCTGATCGTAATTATCATTAGATTTGTCCCTGATGAGTGGTTGAAATTTCAGGCTGGGGGAGAGTATGAGATGGAAACAGGTGGTCTGCCGATGGACTTCACAGATGGCATTGAAAAACTCAGAGCAAACATGAGTGCAGAGTATGACAGAGCTTACGATACTCTTCACAGTGACCATAGTGTTACTCCTGGAAGTCCTGGTAAGTTGAAAAGTGAATAAGTTTAATGTGTGTCTGTGCTTATATTAGACAGTCAATGACGTAAATCTCTAGCAGGGTTAAGTCGCAGGTCTGCTTCAAGCTCTGGTGGCTCTGGACGGGCGTTTATACCATTGGATCCAGAAGTACAATTGCCATCAGGAAGTGGAAGGTGACTGTTGACTTATAGTAATAGCAGCTTGTCACCTATATTAGTATTCTGAACTATGACTATGTGATATTTTGTTACTGAAAGAACTTGCCCATCTAAAGATGTTTTCATCATCACAGCGGAACCTCCTATTGTATATGCTCATAAGTGCAGAAACTAAAGTGTGTAATCTCCTTTATGAAGTGTCAGGCAAATAAAAAAATGTCTAGCTCCCCACTGTCCTATTGTATTCACAAGAGCTGTAGGTGCCGTTCCTGGCTTGCTACTCGCTAGCTGGGAAGGTCCTAATGTGTAAACAAACTCCTGTCTACTTAATGAAGTACGGGCTGCTTAAGTCCGCTCGAGAAAAAAAATTCTTATAGTGACCATGTCATGGTTATTGAACACAGGTCCAAGAGGGGGCGGCATTCATCTGCAAGAAGCTTGGGGAATCTTGATACTGTTGAGGAAGATTTTCCACTGGACCAGGAAGTGATGGACTTCAAGATGAGAATGCTTTCAGATTATGCGCCAACTCCTGGTTGGTTGCATTTCTGGCCTTTACTCTGCTATATATAAACATGTGAACTGTTTCTGGAACATTAACTGTTTCAACCAACATAGAATTTAACAGTTTTGCTCCAACTCCTGTTCGGTTCCATTTCTGTCCTTTATTCACTCTGTTACATATGAACATGTGAAACTGTTTTCTGAAACATTTGAAACTGTTTCGACCAACGTAGAATTTAACAGTCAACATTCGTTTCAGACCTACTGGAAGAAACTGAACCAACTCAAACCCCATATGAGAGGCACTCCAATCCAATGGACAAGGTCACGGAAACAATCATGTCGTAAGTATCCTGAACTTGTTTGCTCATAGTGCCTGGGTAGCTTAAGTTTGTTGAAATGTGGTACAACGGATGCACATACATTTTCTGATGCTAGAGTTATCTTCATGCAGGCACCTCAAACTTCATTTCGATAGCCCAGGTGCCTCGCAATCTGAATCCTTAAGTCATCTAGCTCATGGGATGACCAAAGCCAGGGCAGCCCGACTATTCTATCAAACAACCGGTACGTGTTCCCTCCGTCCCAAATTATAGGTCGTTTTTTGCTTTTCTAGGTACATAACTTTTGTTGTCCTATAAATTGAAAGGGAGGGAAGGGCGGGCCTGGTGCAAGCAGTAGAGTCTTACCGCCTGTGACCGGAAGGTCCCGGGTTCGAGTCGCGGTCTCCTCACATTGCACTGGCGAGGGTAAGGTTTGCCACTAACATCCTTCCCCAGACCCCGCACAGAGCGGGAGCTCTCTGCACTGGGTCCGCCCCTATAAATTGAAAGGGAGGGAGTATTTCTCTATGGCACTTTGACTGGAAAATAAACAGTACTGTTGCTAAAGTAACTAAAAAACTAGTAGTGGTCACTGACATGATGTTAAACAGTTATGATATCTTTCCTGGCTTAGTGACTATTCATGGTTTCTGTAATTAGGTTGGGTTACACTTAAACACCATTGAAGCCTGCTTTCCTTTATTGCTAGGAAATTTGGCACACGTTCCTCAAATTTATAATTTTAGTGGCTGTGCAAACGTTTTCTCAGTATGAGTAGCAAAAAAAAAAAATATATATATATATATATATTTTTTTTTTTTTTTGCGTAAGATGGCTGTTGCTCTGCCTTTGCATTGTAGAAGTTTGAAAAAACAGTCTGATTTACAGTCTGAGCATAAGACCAGACAAGGAAGAAAAATCAAAACCGAAACAAAAGAAAGAAGAGAAAAACACCAGCCCCGTGAAGCCAAGAGCGCTCGTGGCCGAAATCCTTTACGGAGGACATAGTAGTTTACAGGTCTTGGTTGTGCCCAGTTTTGTAGTTGGTGATGTTTTGCTGGATGAGGATGTCAGTTTGTGCTGGCGTTAGAGCCTTATTGTCGAAAAATTGCAGCAACGCATAACTGGTTGTCTGGTTCACTTACCTGTGTGGTTAAATAAGAGAAGTTTCACACAATCCAATACTAGGCCGCATAACTGGGAACACGGAGTTTGCTTAAAATTTTAACATGTTAAGGAATATAATGGTGAATCTGAACCTTATTATTTAATGGGGAATGTTTGTTCTGCAGTTTTGGCAACCTGTGATTACATCAAGGTTACTCAGCTGAAACCGTACGGAGACATCTTGATCTCCAGAGGATCAAAGATGTGACTTGGTGATGTTGGAAACAGTTTTGCTGCGGTGGTTCTCGGTGCACATCACGTGTTTATATTACAGAAGAATGCTTACATATTGCATAGGAGGTCTTGTAGGTAACACATAATCTATGGTGATTTGGTGAAGGAAAGGAAGCGAGATATGATGCAGTAGTTTTGTGTTATGTCAAAGGAAAATTCTAAGCTGTTATTTTCGAGGTTTGATAGGTGGGGTATAGTTATAGCCGTATAGGTAGGACTAAGTTACATGACATATCTATATAGCCAGGGGGCAGGGGATCCATAGATATTAATTATCTTCTTTTGGTTCTGTATTAAGCTTCGGATGAAACTGTACGTCTGTACCCGACGTTATCCAGACCCTTGCAAAATGTGATTATTTATGTACACACGTCGGAGATGTTACAAATGTGGAATCTGGAATCTGATTTTTTTTATTTTTTTTATTTTTGGCTTTGGACACAACATATCCTCTGCAAGTCAGCTAGTACTTTGAAAGTTTGAATGCACATGATGTGCTGCAGAGGATATGAATCGACCGTTTGGCTTTTATTCCTATATTATCAACTGCTTGACGCCCAACCCATAAAATAATATTATCCTCTATCCACTTTGATTTATCCTCTGTACTGCAACTTTCGCTATTCTTTAGCTGGCCGAATTCGGCGCCGCCGGATTCACTGTGCGCCACTGTAACGCATTGTAGTATTTCATTTGTATTTAGTAATAATTGTCCAATCGTTGACTAATTAGGCTCAAAACGTTCGTCTCGTAAAGTACAACTTAACTGTACAATTAGTTTTTGATTTCGTCTACATTTAGCACTCTACCACAAGTTTAATGTGACGGAAAATCTTCTTTTCGTATAGTGCCAAAGTTGAAAGTTGGGAGCAACTAAACAAGGCCCAAGCATACTTTAGCGCTAACTGCCTGCCCGATTGTTTGATGCTACTAGAGTTAGAGTAGCTCCTGCCCGATTGTTTAGCCTTCAGTTCTTTTGTGCCGTTGTTTCTGCAGCTGCCCCGCTCGGCCATGCCCATGTGAGGGGGCCTGCCGTCGATCGGGTCTTGCTCATGGACCAGTCGCCATCCTCGTCGGCGCGGTCGGGCATGTCGAGATCGATCCGAGTCCCTGCCGGGCGGCCAACGCGCGGCGACCGTCGTCGTCAAACCATCATCTCCGCCGTGGTGAGACCCCTAGGCTCCGGCCTCCGGCGAAATCCGAGAGCGGCGCCCGCCAGCAGCACTGCGACGAGGCGGCGGCGGCGGCGGTGCCCAGCAACGTCGGCCACGCGCGGGCAGCTGCTGTACTTGGCGGCCACGTGCGGGCAGCAGGCGCGAGCGAACGGTGCCCAGGCGGCAGGCACCCCAAGCACACATGATGTACGGCGCTTCAGGAGTCCTGGACACCGACGATGCCCCATGCACACATTATGATTCATGGATAAGAAAAAAAAATTCCGTTGGAAACCGGTTACAACTCTCTCATGCACATGTGTAACTACACTTAATTAACTAGCTGTTATATATGACCAGTAATTAGATTCAGACCGGTCTTTCTCTTTCCTCTCCCTTCTTTCTATCTCTAGCAACAACTTTCCTTTCTTGTCCTGTTCATCGATCAATCTAGTACTAATATACGTATACTTGCCGATTTATTTCCATATATATGGAGGTTGCTGCGACGACTCCGACGCATGAGCTGGTCCCACAGCTGCAGTTTCCTCCTGGCTACCGCTTCGTGCCGACCGAGGAGGAGCTCGTCGACGCCTACCTCCGCGCCAAGATCGAGGGCCACAAGCTTCCCCTCGCCGTCGTCAACGACGTCTCCATCCTCGAATGGCAACCCGGCAGACTCGTCGGTAAGCAGTTAAGATGCTACTAATTGCTACACTGTCGTACGTATTTTACTGATTAATCAATTATATGTATAATATGATCTGATGAAGTAATTGCATTAGCTATCTAGTCGTCTAATTATTGTTGCATGATGTAATGTAATGACTTACTGCAATACGTACTGCATGGTCGTCGCGTTTAATTTGCATGCATATCATGCGTGTAGAGGAGTACAAGGGGTACGGCGAGAACAGGTGGTTCTTCTTCACGGTGCGGGAGCAGTCGTCGTCGAACAAGGAGAAGGAGCCCAGCCGGAAGGTGAGGGTGAAGGGCGTCACGGCGACATGGAAGGCCACGGGGAGCGTGCAGCTCATCCGGCGGGCGAGATCCAAGGACGGCGACGGGAACAAAAAGGTGGTCGTGGGCACCAAGAGGGTGCTCATCTACAACTCCAGCGACACCGCCGAGAACGGCAAGTGGAGCATGCACGAGTACTACATCCTCAAAGACCACGCCGCGGTATGTAATGCACGCCTAATTCACTACAGGAAACTGGCTCTTTGCCGACTGCAATTTTCTTTGCCAACTGTTTTTTTCGACACTCGGCAAAGAGGTCCCTTTGCCAACTGGATTTCCTGCAGTCGGCAAAGCAGGATTTGCCGACTGCCTGGCTTTGCCGACTGCCAGGCAGTTGGCAAAGAATTGCAGTCGGCAAAGGCAGGCCATGGTTGACGCCATCCACACCGTCACCTTTGCCGATCGCCACTCGCGCCAGCGTGATCGGCAAAGGCGCAGCTTTTGGTTAATCGCCATCCTCCCGGCAATCGGCAAAATTTTTATTTTTTTGATTTTCGATCCCGCTTTTTTTTGTGTTGCCTTGATACAGTAAGTACATGATATATTCCAAGTTTGGGATCATTTTGATTTATTTTGCTATATTCCGTAGATTTTTTTTACATTTCTTTGATTTTTTCCGCAGACTCGATTTGAGCTGCGGTACATGAAATAATGGAATCCGGCGATTGAAAATGATATTCATGATGTTTGGAGCATGTTGAGGCCGTCTTGTGGGCCTCGCGTAAAATTTCGGACCGTGTTGGTGTCGTTTCACGAGAAACCACGCGCAGCGTGAAAAGTGTTTTTAAATTTTATAAAATCGAAGCGGAGTCCGAAAATGACGAAACTTGACGACGTGTCTTGTCATCGCATGCGGAGGCTGTGGTAAAAATTTGAGAAAGTTTCGAGCAAGTGGCGACGTCGGGTGGCTAAAACCTGGACATCTCCACAAGTGGCGACGTGTCAGTGGCAGTTGGCAAAGAGCCTTTGCCGACTGCTAGGGAGGATGGCAGTCGGCAAAGAATTTCGAGAAAAATTCAAAAATAACCTTTACCGACATTGCCCAGAAGCGGAAGCGATCGACAAAGTATTTTTAAAAAATTAAAAAAATAATTTTTGAAAAAAAAAATAATAGACCTTCGATCAATTGCGTCACATCTTGGTGATCGCAAAAAAAAAAACGCATATATCCGCTCGGCCCGCCTCCCTCCCCAAAATCCCCCTTTGCCCCCAAAATAACCTGCTGCTTGCCGCCGCCACCAGGCCGCCCATTGCCGGCATTGTCGCCCGTGCCAGCCGCAGATCCCATCCCCCCCGCCGCCCCCTCCCCTCCCGCGCCCCCCTCTCTCTCCATGGCCGTGATCCCCTCCTCCTCCTCCCCCTTGTGGCCTCCCTCCCCGTGGTGTGGCGCCCCCATGTGGCCTCCCGTGGCCGCCCCCCCATTGTTGGTCCCTCCCGTGGCTGGCGGCCATCCCGTGGCGCCCCTCCCCAGGCCCCATGTTGGGCCACCCATGGCCGTCCCCCCCATGCCTTCATTGGCCCCTCCGGCGCCGCCGCCCGCCAGACCCCTCATTGTTGCCCTGCCAGCCGCCAGGCCAGTAGCCCGGCTGCAGCTCAGAGCGGCCCGTGTGGCAGCGCCCTGCCTTGGCCCGCCGCCGCTGTCATTTCGCTGCCCGCCCGATCCGGCGTGCCCTTTCGTCCCGCCGTCCGCCGCCGTTCATGTGCCGATTCGCCGTCCGCTGCCGCCGTTCGCCGTCCATGGAAGCCTGCGTCGCCGTCCGTCCTCGCCTTGTTGTCCTCGCCTCGCCGTCCTCGCCTCGCTGCGCCGTCCTCGCCTCGCCAGCGCTGCCGTCCCGTCTCGCCGTCCTCGCGCGCCCGCGCTCCTCGCTGCGCCGGTGGACGCCCGTCGTGACGACGTAGGTAGTAGTACTACTAGTAGTAGTAGTTTACTTTGTTAATACCGCTTATATTCTTCTCGCATGGATTGGAAATACATTTGTGGTTGTCGGCCATCGTGCGACGATATATATATGTGTTTGTCGGCCATCGTGCCGTCTTTTCTTGAGTTTGGTAACCTTTCCGCATGTGAGGGAGGTCTTTGCCGAAATTTTTCGTTCTCACTAATTGTTTTTTCTTTTTCGGAGGGCTCCCATTGGAGGCTAGCCGGAGGAGCACGACACGACAAGACCGCCTTCGCTAGCCTTTCTTCACAAGCTTGCGCAGTATGACCCCTCTTTCCGCCACATGTAGTCATAGGTCGCGTTACCCGGTTTAGGCGTCTCCGTCAAAGCGGATACGGTTGGAAGTATCGTTCTTCAGATATGTATAACCGTATCCGTTTTTGATTGTCCACGTTATTGGACAGCCGAGGATGATGCGAGACGAGGTTAGCTCCCATGTTCCGCTCCCATCCAAAGTCGAGTTTGGGCAGACCTCCCTTTGTTCTCTAGATACACTCTCTCCCACGGACGTGTATCGGGAACAGCGGGGAGGTGTTGCCGAAATTCCGTCTCGGACGGGAGCGAGCATGGAAGCTAACCTCGTCTCTGATGCTCTCGGGTGGGATTAGGACCTATCCTTCACCTATTAGATGGTAGGAGCGCGTTGTAGATGCACTTCTTTGGTTTTATCACATGTTAACATTGCCGCATGATGAGCATGGGTGACCGTGAGTGGATGTACTCGGGGGCCGCAAGTAAGAGCCACGAATGGATGGGGGACGACCGAGTTCTGGAGCATGCATTTGGCCCGGTTGCTAAAGGGTCGATTCGGATGCCGTGTCCCTGCAGTGAAAAGTGCGAGAACAAGAAGAAGAAAGTAAAGGCTCAGGTGTTGAGAGATCTGTTCAAGCATGGGTTCGTTCCAAACTATACCCGTTGGCGCCACCATGGTGAATACCATCCTATTAGGGATGAGGTGGTGCGACCCGTCCTCGAGGAGTATGATGGCGATGCCGGGATGGCGAACATGATGGCGAGACTTCCACGAAGCACGGTTTGGCGAAGGAATGGATGTGGAGGAAGATCCGGAGGAAACCACGAAGGCCTTCTACGACATGATGGAGTCGGCACGAAGCCCCTTCACGAGAAGACAAAGCTTACATGAATCGGATGCCGTCTCACGCTGATAGGGTTGAAGTCGCGGTGGGCATTAGTCGAGACGGCCGATCTCGTGTTGAGCATTGTTGGGGATCGCTTCCGGCAGATCATGTCCCGCCGACGAACACCTACGCTCTACGAAGCTCCTTCGTGCACTTAAGATGCCGTATGAGGGGATCCATGCTTGTCCAGAAGGGGTGCGCCCTGTTCGGGGAGACCTCGAGGAAGCAAAAAACCTGTCCAAGTGCGATGCCTCTAGGTTCGTGTTGGTAGAAGGCTCGATGGCGGCATGAAACAGTCTAAGGTCCCCGAGAAGGTCGTGACGGCACCTTCCTTTCCTACCGAGGCTGCAACGGTGTATATGACGGAGGAGTCCATGAAAGCAGATGACGTGGCACAAGAATGGCAAAAGATACCATCCCGACAAGATGGTACACCCGTGAACGGTGATGCATGGAAGCACTTCGATAACATGAATCTGTCAAGGCTATGGAGGCTCGGAATGTATGCCAGCGTGGCCTGGCAATGATGGGTTCAACCCATTTGGAATGATGGCGCCCCGTACACTTGCTGGCCCGTGTTTGTGATCCCCTCAATCTCCCCCCGGCGTCATGTTTGAACCTAAGAACGTGCTCTTGACGCCGATAATACTGGACACCCGGCGACAATATGGGTGTGTTCATGCACCGGTGTGGGATGAATTGGAACTTGCTTGGGAAGAGGGGTACTCACGTATGACAAGGCTATGAAGAGGAACTTCAGAATGCATGTGTGGTACCAGATTCAATGCATGACTTCTGGCGTATGGCTTATTCAATGGGTGGTGTGTTCACGGAAGTTCCCTTGCCCGACATGCAAGGCAGATGTGATGTTCACTGGGTGGCCAAGGCGGCAAGTTTTCTTCTTTCGACAAGCATCGCCAATTCTCGCCGAGAACCATGAATTAAGGTAGATGTAAAGCACTTCACGAAAGGCGTTCAAGTCATCGGCCCCATTCATGAGTTAAGAGCCCCGCCGCCGTCCTTGCCGACATCTGAGCTCTCGAACCGAGAAACAGTGTGGGTTTAAGGGATATGCTCGGGACCACATGTGGACTCATATATCGGGCTTGACTAGGCTCCCCTACTTCAAGGACCTTCTTCTTCCACACAACATCGATGTAATGCACACAGAAAATAATGTGGCCGAGGCACTCTGGGCAACACTCATGGACGTTGGCAAAAAGTCGAAGGACAACGTCAAGGCTAGACTGGACCTGGAGATGATCTGTGATAGACCAAACCTGGTGATGAAGACCCCGCGCCCGGCAGAAATGGAAAAGGGGCCGCCGATTACATCTCGAAAAAGGCGGCGATAGGAAGGAAGTTCTGCGCAGTGGATCAAGACGTTAAAGTTCCCGATGGGTATGCGCGCGAATCTGGCGAGGGTGTGAACTTACGGACTATGAAAGTCTTAGGGATGAAGAGCCATGACTTCCACATATGGATTGAGCGGATCCTTCTGCGATGACCCGGGATACCTCCCGAGCATGTGTGGCGCGCCCTGGCAGAGTTGAGCTTCTTCTTCCGCCTTGACTTTGTGCCAAGGAGTTGTCTCGGGATGTTTGTGTTGAAGCGGAGAAGGCTGCACCTCTGTTGCTCGCAAGTTGGAGATGATATTTCCACCCGGCTTCTTTCTCGTCCATGCAAAGATCGATCTTGCACCTACTGCGCGATGAGGCACGGTTTGGGGGTCCCGTCTTGAGCCCGTTGGTGCTATCCAATCGAGAGGTGTCTAAAGCTTCTTGGAAAAATTGTAGAAATAAAGCCAAGATTGAGGCTTCCGTGGGAGAGGCCTCCGTTCTAGAGGAGGTGTCGACCTTCACACAAAGCGTACTATCTATCGAGAAGCTTCCCAAAGATGCACAATCCAACCCCTCGTTATAACGCCGACGAGAACTCATCGATACTCGGCCTTTTCCAAGGGGATCTCGGGGAGTGGAAGCGCAGTACCAACAAGCGGTTGAACCATCAGAGTGGCGGACTATCATGTTCACATTGTTGATCAACCTTGATGAAGTGATTCCTTATCAGGAGTAAGTTCTCAATGAGCTTGTTACCTACGCCGTCACTATCCTCCATCTATCATGGTCTGACCCTCTAGTTTCTTCCTTCTTTCAGGAAATTTATTAGTCAATACTGGAGAGGCAATAGGGCTCCTACCGAGCAAGAAGAAGACAATCTTCTTAGACACGGTGTGCCCGATTTCATCTCCTGGTTCTTAGACACGGAGCGGACGACGAGACCGGGGACGGCGCGACGAGCTAGGTACTTGTCGATTCTGTTATCATGTATCCACCGTATCGTCGAAGTTGTTGTCATGTATTTCTTTTCTTCGTTATGGACCTAGACTTGTTATGTTGAACTTCGTGTGATGGACGTCGACTTGTGGTGTTCGACGTGTTGGACTTCATGTGATGGTTGTAATGCACTTGTGTGGTTGTTATTGTGACATATATGTGAGATATATGTGATGTTGTGCGTTATTGTGATATATGTGGTGATGTTGGCGACAAATGTGATGAAATTGTGATATAAATGGTGCTACCGGTGCTTTTGGTGAAATTGGATTATAATTTGTGATTTTGCGGGGTTTTGATGCGAGAAAAACAGAAAAAAAAAAAAAAAAATTTCCAACTTTGTCGATTGTTTAGTGGGCAAAAACCCCAGGATGACGAGTCTTTGCCGATCAGATGGGAGGCGATCGGCAAAGAGGTCAAACTTTGCCGATTGCAACTCGAAAGCAATCGGCAAAGAACATTTCAAAAAAAAAATTCTTTCTTTTGCCGATCGCCGAAGTTGGCGGCGATTCGCAAACAATTTTGAAAAAAAAATTCTTTCCGACCGCCGAGGAACCAAGAAGCAAAGAAAGCTCCGTCGGTTGTCGACGACCGCGCCATCTTATGCCGATCGCTTTGGCGTGGCGGTTGGCAAAGGCTTTTGATTGTGTGTGCGTGGCGCTTCGGCAAATCCGCCTTTGCCGACCCAAAGCTTTGCCATTGCGCTTCTTGCCGACCGCCACGCGTGGCTGCGGTCGGCAAAGCCTTTGCCGACTGGGTTTATGCCTTTGCCGACCGGGGCAAGCAGTCGGCAAAGAGGCGTTTTCCTGTAGTGATTGCTTGCGTAATAATTGCATATATATGAACAAGAACAAACCCTAGATAAAAGGGACTTTATTATTTGCATATACTCCCCTGTTATTGACGTGGTTTATAATATTAACCATTATTTTTCTCTAACGAACCCTAACGAACATATGTGATTAAATAAAAGTACTATTATTCATAAATCTACGCATAATGCATGCCTTTATTTAATGTTTTCAATTTTTAAAAGTTCAACCGGACTATTTTAAGCACCAAGTATTTATGGGTGGAGGTAGTATCAAAAAATTAAGATTTTTTATATTAGCAAGCAAAAGATCTCGGCGTTGTCATGGTGACAGCAAAGAAAAAACAAATCCTAAAAAGTGGGACAAAACAGTAACTGACACCATGTTCGCCAGCCATGCTACAGTATTTTTCTTTCACAGCAAAACAGCATCAGCCGGTTTATAAGCCACAGAAACGATCAAGCGAACATGGTGTGATTTGATCTATTCTACTCCCTCCATTCCAAATTATAAGTCGCTTTGACTTTTTGGTTCATTCATCAAGCTATGTATCTAGACATATTATTATATCTAGATGTATAGCAAAATGGATGTACCAAAAAAATCAAAGCGACTTATAATTTAGAACGGATGGAGTATAATGTTACTATAGATTTATGCACCACCCTAACATTATAAATTTGTACTTAATTTGCCTCATTCTGAGGCCTTGTTTAGATGTCAAAAAATTTGACAAAATGGCACTGTAGCAGTTTTCGTTGTTATTTGACAATTAGTGTTCAATCATAGTCTAATTAGGCTTAAAAGATTTGTCTCGTGGATTTCGTCTAAACTGTGTAATTAGTTTTATTTTTTTTTATATTTAATCCTTCATGCATGCGTCCAAAGATTCGATGTGACGGGAAATCTTGAAAAATTTTGCAAAATTTTTTGCAACTAAACTGGACCTGAGCCTTTGTAACATGCATATATGTTTAGAAGCTAATTTCTTTTGGACCGTGGACTCAATGAGTCAATGTTCACACAACTTTTCAGAATTTGAGCAACACAAGATTCGATCTCGTAGCTTGCCTGGAGGAAATTGACTGGCAATTGGCCCTAATGAAAAAGATTAATAATTGCTTGAGTTTATATATCTTGCAATTGACTCCATGACATGCATGCAGATTGGGCAGTATGCCCTGTACTCGATCCAAAGGAAGCAGCACTCGGACACCGAGGGCAACGACGACATGGATCCAGAGAATAAGAAGAAGAAGACTAGAAAGAGGAAGAGGACGGAGACGGAGACGCCTTCTACCGAACTGGAGGGAATGCAGCTGCCGCACCCAGAGACGACAACACTGCTCGCCGAGCCACCATTGAAGCCAACAAGGAAGGCCAAGGTCCAGAGGAAGAAGAAACCATCAATGCAAGTTGGAGTTGAGGGAGAACAGCAGCAGCAGCAGCAGGGACAGTCACTGATGGAGCCAGTGACGCCGCCCAAGAAAGATGAGCTAGCGCCGCGGCAGCAAGAAGGACGACAACAGCCGGCGCCGCCGGCGGCGGACGGTGCGCCGGCGCCGATCGTCCTCTCCGCCGTGCCACTGCAGGCTGTACGCGTGTGCCCACCATCGGAACCGGACGGAACGCTCGGAGCTTCCGCGCCTAAGCCCAAAGAAGACACGCCCGACGACATGTCCCAGCTCCTGGCACTGCTCGGTTACCCTGCCATGTTCTGCAACAACCAAGGTCAGGAGCAGTGGCCACCGAGCTTGACAGGCAGTACGGCGTTCCTCGCCGCACCAGACACCAACGTCGTCGTTGGCCATGCTCCGCTCCAGCCCTACCAGCAACAGGAAGATGGCTACAGCTTGTTCGGAATGCAGAACCAGCATCTCTTCTTGGGAGAGAACCAGAGTGTTTACATGAAGCGGGGATGGCAGCACGCTGATCTGTTACTCCCAGACAACAACACCACGCAGACGATGAACAGCGGCGGCGGCGGCTGGGAGCATGCGTGGTATGCATCAGTGTTCATTAGCAAGTCTGTTAGTATTCATCAGTGTTTTATGTGGTATGCATGCGTTACGGCTATAGTATTGCTGCTATTTCCTCAAGTTCATTAGTCAAGTTCAATTAGGCCACGTTTGTCCCCTCCTAAATTTTAGTCCCTGCCACATTGAATATTTGGACACATGCATGAATTATTAATATAGACTAATTACGAAACTAAATGCACAGATTGAGACTAATTTGCGAGACGAATTTTTTAAGCCTAATTAGTCCATGATTTGATAATGTGGTGCTACAGTAACATGTGCTAATGACGGATTAATTAGGCTTGATAAATTCGTCTAGTGGATTACTGAGGACTTCTGTAATTTGTTTTATTATTATTATCCAAACACTCAACGTGACACCCCCATGCAACATCTGATATGACTCTCTTAAACTTTAGCCCCTGAATTTAAACACTCCTTATTATTCTTATCTTGAAAGGAGTCCTCGACCTTATAGACGAAAACATCTAGTTTCTCCGTCCTAAAATAATATAATTATCACTTTCTAAGAAGTTAAATAATTTTAAATTTAATCGAATCTATATAAAAAGATACAAACATTTAAATAAATGACATTAGATTAATTATATAATATACTTTTATATAAATTTATTTGAAAACATAAGTATTGAAACTATTTTTTTATATATAAATTCTGTTGAGCTTAAGAAAGTTTAGTTTATTTATTATATAAACCTAGAATTGTAAGTCGACAAGAGCGAGTAGTATCTTGAGCAGGCGCCACCGCCAGCTGCAGCGGCAACGGCGCTGGTCTCCGCCTGTCTTCCCGGAGTCCGGCGGAAGGCCGGTGTCGGGAGGAGGAAAGGTTCTTCCCAGGCACCTTGACCCATGCTGAGGCACCTGGTCCGGTCGGGCCAGCTCGCTGACGCGAGGAGCCTATTCGACGCGATGCCGCACCGCGACGAGGTCGCCTACGCCGCGCTCCTCTCGGGCTATGCTGCGGCAGCCGACTTCCCGGGCGCCATGGTGCTCTTCTCCCGCTTCCGCGCCTCCTCCCCGCCTCACGCCGCCGCGGACCCGTTCATCCTCAGCCCCGTCCTCAAGGCGTGCGCTTCCGCTTCCGCCGGCGCTGGCACTGGCACAGGGCTCCTCCCCCTCCCCCACGCCGCGGCGGCGGCCGCGCTGCACGCGTTCGCCGTCCGATCCTCCGCCGTGTCGTCCGTGTTCGTGTCCACGGCGCTGGCGGACGCCTACGCCAAAGCCGGCCGCCTGGAGCTGGCGCTCCAGGTGCTCGACGAAACGCCCCACAAGAACGTGGTCTCGTGGACCACGCTCGTCGCCTCGCTGGCGCGGGCCGGCCGGCGGCACGATGCGCTCCGCCGCTTCGCCGAGATGAGGGCCTCCGGCGTGGCCTGCGACTCCCACGCCTGCGCGGCCGCGCTCACGGCGTGCGCCGGTGGGGGGCTGCCGTCACGCGGCCGCGAGGTGCACGCGCTCTGCGCCAAGCTCGGCCTCGACGCCGTGCCCTTCGTCGCCAACGCGCTCGCGGCGCTGTACGCGCGATGCGGCGACGTCGACCGCGCGCTGGCCACGGTCGGCCGCATGGGCACGCGCGACGTTGCCGCGTGCACGACGCTGATCGCCTCCTACGTCCAGACCGGCCGCGCAGAGGAAGCTATCGAGGCGTTTGTCAGAATGCTTCGCGACGAGTCGTCAAATTCTGCGTCACCGAATGAGTATACTTTCTCTGCCGTAATTGCTGCGTGCCCAAATATTGACGGTGCCTATCTTGGAGAGCAGTTACATGCACAAGCTGCACGGAGAGGGCTATCTCATACCCGTTCTGTGGCCAATTCCCTTATAAAACTCTATGCGCGCTGTGGTCGTCTTTCAGCTGCTGATGCTATCTTCCGGGAGAGTGTTGTCAAGGATGTTGTCTCCTGGAGCACAATTATATCAGGATATGCACAGGAAGGCCTCGCCGAGGAGTCTTTTGCCTTGTTCTCAGAAATGCGGCATCACAGCAGCTGCCCTCGGCCAAATGAGTTTACTCTTGCCAGTCTCTTCCGTGTGTGTGCTAGTGCTGCATCACTGGATGCTGGACGCCAGCTGCATGCACTCGCTGTCGTTGCTGGACTTGAACACCATGCGATGGTCATGAGTGCGCTCGTTAACATGTATGGAAAGAGTGGTAGCATGACAGATGCTAATGTCGTATTTTCCAATCGCACTAAAGATGATGTGATTTCATGGACTGCAATGATCGTTGGGCATGCTGAGCATGGTCACAGCAAAGAGGCATTTCAACTGTTTGAGGAAATGTGCCGTGTCGGGCTAAAGCCGGACCATGTTACGTTCATTGGTGTACTCACGGCTTGCTCTCACGCGGGGGAAGTCGAGCTCGGATTGAGATACCTCAATGCAATGAACAAATGCTATGGACTGGAGCCTGAAAAGGAGCACTATGGTTGTGTTGTTGACTTGTTAGCCAGAGCTGGTAGAATACATGAGGCTGAGGAGTTGATTGGAAGAATTGCTGCTGATGGAAGAGATGGTGTGGTTTGGACATCTTTGCTTAGGGCATGTGCTGCTCGAGGGGCAGAGGAAACTGGAAAGAAAGCTGCAGAGAGGATGATGGAGGCAGAGCCATGGGGTTCAGGAGCACATGTGGCGATGGCAAACCTCTATGCTAGCAAGGGGCAGTGGCGTGAGGCAGCACAGGAACGCCATTTGATGAAGCAGAAAGGTGTTCTAAAAGGCGCAGGGTGGTCATCAGTCGAAGTTGGAGGGGACGACAGGGGGGTTGGAGTGTTTGTTTCAGGAGATCGGACAAATCCCCATGATAATGCCATCTACATGATGCTTGAGCTGATATACTATGGAGCCGGAATGGTTCGCCAAATCCCTGATCAGTTGGATTTAGGATCTGAAGTGGAGCTAACAGTTTACTAAGTCATCCTGAAAGAAGCACTTACTGAAAGGGAGAAATTTACATGGTACCCTGTCAATAATGAAACATCCATCGGAGAACAACAAAAGGATACGCATTGTATCCTGCTCTTCGGTGCTTCAAGTTATGATACCCGTCCATTTATCCTATCTTTTGTTTTTTTTTTTGTGGGTGGCTTTGCCCTATTCTAAAGGCACCATCTAATCCTTACTTAGCCATCTGATATTTTGTCTGCTGGAAATAAATCACTACATTTATGGTTGATGTATTTCTAAAAAATGGAACATAGTGTAGCATCTCTAGACCATGGAGAATCTCAAATGTTTGTTTATGATTAATCTAACTCTTTTTTTATTCATGGCTGTTCAGATACTTTTCATGAAGAAAGAAGAAAGCTGGATAACAAAAAGGAGGTTAGTAGATGCTTGAATTCGTTATAGCCCCAGCTTTTCTTTAGGTTCATTGTTTTTTAGAGTTTCCTTTCCGCTGCAATGTGAGTTTGGGGTTATTAATTATGCAAGCTTGCACTGAATGGAGGTTCACTGTTTGCTTTTCCATCCTTTGATTTTTGTGTGAGATTTGCCTTTTCGCTGCAATGTGAGTTTAAGGCCATTGATTTTGCAATCTTGCACTGAATGGGAGACTTGGATTTCTCCCATGGTATGGACTGGCTGATATGTCGTATTGCTGTATTATGCCATTCTTGCCAGCCATCGGTGATTCAGTCATTGCCAATACACCAAATGTTGTGCCCAAGGAATACAACAAAACTGTTTTCACATCAGAAGTAAGTCATGGCGCAGCAGATCAATTACTAAATGGTGCTATTGAGTCATACTCTGTACCTAAAGATCCTTCCTCACTTGATATGGTCTCTCCAGCAAAAGGAACAGATGTTGAAGCTCCTTCCTTGAGTGATAATGCACAAGGTTTCATTGACGCCGGATATCAGTGAAGATGGTGTTGAAAAAGACACAAATTTGGAAGAGAGCAATACAGAAAGTTTGGCAATTTTTGGATAATTTTCTGCTACTTGTAATGATATGCAATCTGAATATACTGAAGTTTCACTCATTAGGATGATGCCTCGATAGAGAAAACAGATGACTTTCAGTCCCCAAGGCCTTTCATTCTGAGTATAACCAACATAAGTCAAAATGGACATCATTTTCCTTACCTGTATTTCTGCATGTGGTTGTTGAACTTATTATGGTTCTTAAGACCCTAACACTAAGTAAGTCTGAAGTTCTTATTTGTTCAACTTATGTAAGTGTCTGTTCAATTTGAGGATGCGCACAGTGTCGGGCTAAAGCTAGACCATGTTACATTCATTAGTGTACTCACAGCTTACTCACACGCAGGGGGGGTTGAGCTCAAACTGAGATACCTCAATGCAACGATCAAAGGCTAGAGGCTGGAGCCTAAAAAGAGCACTACGGTTGTGTTGTTGATTTGTTCAGCAGAGCTGTTAGAATCATGAGGCTGAGGAGTTGATTGCAAGAGATGGTATTGTTTGGACTCTTTGCTTAGGGCATGTGCAGCTCAAGGGACAGAGGAAAGTGGAAAGAAAGCTGCAGAGAGGGTGATGCAGGCAAAGCCATGGGGCTCAGGAGTACATGGGTCAATGGCAAACCTCTATGCTAGCTAGGGGCAGTGATGTGAGGCAGCACAGGAATGTCGTTTGATGAAGCACAAAGGTGTTGTAAAAGGGGCAGGGTGATCATCAGTTGAATTGTAGAAGACGGAAGGGGGGTTGGAGTGTTTGTTTCAGGAAACCAAACAATTGACAATGCCATCTGAGTACATGATGCTTGAGTCGATGTACAAATGGCAGTGGAGAAGAAGAGGCAAGTGCAGATGGAGTGGTTCAAATACAATAAATACTTAAATAGTTACATTTTCAAGATTACGAATTAACATGATGATAGATCAATATTTATTTACCAAAAGTGAAGTTTTCCAGTGCTTCTAGGCTCATCAGTCACTAAACCAATAGAATATAAGTAGACCTTCCCTCTTCTAACTGGTATTTACGGAGCTGAAATGGTTCGCCATATCCGTGATCAGTTGGATTTTGAATCTGAAGTGGAGCTAACAGTTAACTGAGTAATCTCGAGAGGAGCACTTACTGCAAGGGAGAAATTTCCATGGGGTCTTGCCATGACGAAATATCCATCGGAGGACAACATAAGGTTTGTTCATCTCATTTCTTTTGTGCTACTGCTTTGTGGGAAATCTGTATACTAATGCTGTACTGATCTGCATACCGGTCTTGATAAGGTGTCTGCAACATTTAGCACTCCACTGAATTCCAGTCCAATCAAGTATTCTAAAAAAGAATTATATCCCAAATAAATTAAAATGCCTGTGGCAGGTACAGGCTGAATCGTGCCCAAGTTAATATCTGCATCAGATTTGTATTGCAGAAAAAGCTCATTGTTCAGTCTACCAAACTGATGTAACCTTGGTGCATTGCTCAAGTGACTTGGAGCAAAGCAGAATGTGACTATCTGCCTGATGATCCTTTTTACAGCAAAAGCATGCCAGAGTGTCTGTGTCGTATTCATTCTTTTCGAAAAGGGAGCTGGCCACCATATGGAATGAAATTCACTCTTCGCAATCACAACAACATTAGCACATTACATGTTGCACTGCTCTTTAAACTTGTGCACTAGTAGTAAATTGTTTCTTTGACTGACTTGTTGATTACTAGGTCAATATTCGTGTACAGCCTGATGATGCTAATGTTACAATAATAGAGGAGTTAACTTTATCCCATGTGCCAACTGATCACATGTTACTTTACAACGTTGACAATACAGTGATGTAAAGGTTAATGATGTCTATTCTATTGTACAGCCTTTTGACACTTGTCTGTGTTGAGATGCCAAAGTCTTTCATGCTTGGTTTCATGAGCTAGAGATTGCCACCAGAAGTCTCTTTTTATCCTTTTGTGTGAACGTGTTGGTTGTTGAAGAACCAAGTACATTTGTTCCATGAGTAGTAAAGAGTGGAATCTGGATATTCAAAGTGCATGGGGAATTCCTTTTTTGTGTTGAAATGCTGCTATAACTTTGTGTAAAATTTTCTATGCCTTGTTTCATGAGCTACATGCTACCAGAAGCCTCTGTTTATTTTCTGTGTTACCAGTTGAGGAACTAAGTAATGGTTTCATTCATCGTGAGTAGTAATTGAAATGGAATCTGGATATACATTGGTTTCATTCATTATGAGTAGAATTGAAATGGAATCTGGATATTCAAAGTACATGTTGGAAGTTTTGTCGCAGGGATCAATCAGCAAAACAGCACTGTTAATCCCTTTTTCGGATATGATCATTGCATCATTCTTTTACACATCTTTTTGCCAGAAGCAGGTGAGGCCCATGAGCAGAACACAAGCTAGCAGCACCAACCACGCATTGTATTTGAGCAGGGGTGGGGTTAGGGCAGCACTTGAGTTAGAAAGAAACAAAAAAATCACCGGTGATAGATACTAGCGGAGTGGTAGCAATGATGCCGCTTTGGCGAGCTTAGGCTTCGGAGACGCTTTAACTAACCCCAGTCCTACTCATCTCTGCATCCACAGCCGTCTGTAAAGCTCTATCCGGCGGTGACTTCGAGGCACCAAACCCAGGCAGGGGCCCTACCCGGAATCATGAGCCATGACTACTCCCTCCGTCCCTGGAAAGCGTCGGTTTTTTACTTTTAGACTCGATGTTCGAGCGTTTGTCTTATTAAAATTTTTATGTAAATAATAAAATAAATAAATCATTATTAAAGTATTTCTAATGATAAAATAAGTCATAATAAAATAAATAATATTTATATAATTTTTTGAATAAAACAAACGGTCAAATAAGAAGTCTAAAAGTCAAAAACAACACTTTTAATAGAACGAAGGAAGCTATGTCTCAAAAGCGCCAGAGGTTAGTAGTAGTAGACTGGTGGTGGTAGTATCACACTGTCAGTACTCTAATATCTGCAATGATGGGAGTCAGAGATGGCTGGTGGATCAACTCCTCCAAATTGCACTACTGGTAGAAAAGAAAAGAGAAGAGAAGGAAACAAATCACTAATCAATGATCATCAACAGCAAAGTAAAGCAAATAAAGCTACCAGTTAAGTGTCTACTCCTACTTTGGATTAGTAGTTTAATAATAGTAGTAATACTATTACCACTATAGAGTTAGTACATGACACTACGGAGTAGCTCTCATCATAACCTTCTAGAAATGTAAAGGTAGCTAGCCGACAAGAAAACATAAAAAGAAGCTCTGATTTCTTCGCTTCCATGCAGTTTGAGCGTTAGAGCATGCATCTGAGCTGAGCTCCATTGGCATTGCTAGACGATACTAGAATCAATGGATTAGCTTCTGGCCCCTCTTGTAGCTATAGCTCCACTGTGTGCGGGGAGCAGGAGTAGTAGCCATCTTAACCGACGTGTTGAGCCCAGGATCACCGCCACGCCACCACCTCGCTCCAAAAGGCGTAATCCACCGATCGGAGCCGAGCGAGCGAGGCCGAGGCTGCGAGAAGCCAAGAAGTGTAGGTGGCCGGCCGGGAGGACCGGGGAATCGGCGATAATTGAGGAATCGCGAATCGGAGACGATGCGGCCCGGTGCGTGCCTTCCGTCGCGGCAGTGACTATTGACTAGTGGCCGCCCGGGGAGCGATGCGAGATCGAAAGGGATATGATTAGTTAGGAGGATAAGAGAAGAGAGGTGTCCTGATTTAGGGCACTTGGCACTTTGGAATGGTCGCAAAGTCGCAGCACAAGTGGCTGCGCAAATACAGAGCCGGGACGGAATGGAAGGCGGTGCTTTGTCCCGGCATCGGATTCGGATTCGGATTCGGATTCGATGCTTGTCGTTTGGTGTGCCGCACACAGGCACACAGCACCCCCCAACTAGTTAGCACTGCAGCGTGATGGCGAGAGAGAGTGCATGTTGCCGTGTCGGGGGGAATAAATAAACCGGTGTTCCTGTTCTCAAAGCGAAAAA